TTTTTTTAATACATTCATTTAAATTCTATTACAGGAATGGGGAGTAAAACCACTATATGTAAGGGAAGGCGGGTCAATTCCTGCTATTAAATGGTTAGAAAAGAAGTTTAATGCGGTTGTAGTTAATTTACCTATGGGTCAAGTAAGTTTTAAAATTACATGATGAGCATTCCTTATTTTAGGAAGAGCCTTAATTCCTTTCTTTGTTTTTTTTAAGTCATCGGACCAAGCACACTTAGTAAACGAAAGAATTAGATTGCAAAATTTATACAATGGTAAAAACATCTTTAAAAATTTGTTTAGAAAATTGGGTGAAAGAGTGATATTTTAATCTTAATATTGAGAGTTGTATAAAAAAAAAAAAGAAGTTTGACTGTTGTATTCTGATTATTTTTTCCTTCTGGCATAAACGTTCTATAACTTTCTTTTTCGTTATTATGCGTGTCCTAACAACAAGTCTATATATATATTTACAGTATATTTAAATGTAACTTATTCGCTCAAAATTGTATGCCTAAGCTGAATTTGCGAAATGATTCGTAATAGTAAAAAAAGCAAAAAAAAAAAAAAAAAAACATTAACTGATCTGCTAAGACACTGAATTCTCAAAATTCTGCCCGCCAAAATAAGAGCCAATATTCACATTCTCATTTGAGAATGACTAATAACTCTTTACAATTAATATTCAGTTATTTACATGCCTTCAAGAGTAATCTATTCGTTTGTATATGAAAGACCTGGAAAATATTTGCTTAAACATTCTTTCCATTCACAAATTGCGCAATATCCCATTGCCTATCATTCACATATAGATGAGTTCGTAGATATATCAATTATAGTAATTATAATTTTAAATTAAATAACGCACAACTTACCAGCGACTTTTCAATTATATAATTATATCAGAATCATTCTTTGGAACTTTAATGTGCATTTTTCCATCGATGTATGTTGAAAAAATCTTGTTAGTGTTAACATCTGGAGGTAATCTGACTGGATGACAAAATGATTGGTATCTGCGTCCACCCATGAATGATAAATCGGGACTAATGATTTCAGAGCTCGAATGCGTGAAATGCGTAAAAGAAGAGCCAACGATATCTAAGTCCACTATTGGCTTTATAGATCCAAAAATTGCTAGGGTTCTATTGCAAACTTGAAAATTGATATTATAATCCTAAATTTGCAAGATAGTGTAAACTTAATTATGAGCTTATAACAGTTATACAGCCAGATCTCAATGCAATATCATAATGACCATAAAAAAGAAATAACCGAAATCTGCACTTAGAGTGATATTGCACAAGGAGGTTAAATCTATAAGAACACTAATAGCTTGGTGTCACGTTTACGGAGGTTTTTCATGAGGCGTACATTTAGAGAGATCTGACAGTAATAATATAGTAATAAGAATAACAGACCTCCAAATCAATCTTAACATCTATTTCCCGATCATTTTCGGTTACAATAATTCCATTAGAACAAGAAGAAGCAAACTCATCAAAAACAAATTCTACACTGTCGTCATAGTCCACCAGTTCCATGTACACATTTTCCGAATTTTTTAAAAATTGTTTTTCATCATTTCCTGACAAATGCCTTAACGGACCACCGTCCGAGGCAATTTTTGTGTCGCTAGGATCCAATTCATCTTTATTCTTACATATGCCCCATTGAATAAGTGCATCTTTATAAGAAACAAATTCCAACTCACGTGAAGTAACCGATTTAATCTTTTCTAATGATTCAAAATCATGTGTTTGAGAAAGTGATTTATCAACATTAATTGCCTGTAAAGGGGTCATTTTAAAGACTACAGGATAGCTAAACTGAGGATAGAAAAATATAGATTTTTTAGAAGGAAATTAAGCAACCAGAATAAGGGAGACAAGCTATATTTTATTTGAAGGTTTTTTGCATGACAAATCGTTATTGTTGAGAGATAACTTTTATATATTTATCACGCAATAAAGTAAATTTCACGCCAAATCTCACGCATCGGAATTACGTAATGAGTAAACATATTAATATTAATAAAATCATTTGCTGAGTCCGCAGCTAATCTCAGAACCGCAAAAACCTTAACGTTAAGGAAACTACCGAATGCTTTATTCTAAATTAAGTTATAACATGTTAAGACAATGAGACATTTTTTAAAAGATTTACTATGACATCATTAGCAATGTTACACGAATGATTTCACATGATTTTATATAAGAAGTATCTAATATCCAAGTAGCGTTAAAGCGATTTTTAATGAAATTGGATTAAAATGAAATGAAGGGTTTCTATTTGACCCCCTAATAAAACCCACTTATACTTGTTATTATAAAACCTGCTTCTAAACCCTAATCCTAAACCTAAAAAAAAATCTAAAAAAAGCACCCCAGAAATTTGTATTTTTCGGTGGTTTGTCTATTTTACACTATCCTCATTTTAATCTGCCACATTAAATGAGTTTACTAATTTTCCCACATTTCTGATTGGATCTACTAATTAACACATATCGGAGCTGTTAATAATCAATTTTATCATACGTACTCCAATAGTGAAGTGTGGGGAAATTAGTAACGGTAAACCTGTATTGAATCTATTCGATGTGTCAAAAATGACTATTTATATCATGTAATTATATGAACTACGTAGTTTAGCCTCCAAGCTTACGGACAGAGAACTACGCCACGCAGTATGAATTCTGTGTCAGGTTTGTGACGCAGAGTTCCTGAACTACAAATCAGAATTTCAAGATCAGGTCACATAATACGATTAGAAAAATTTAAAACATATATATCGATTTGTTGTTAAAAAAATTATTTATTTCTCAAAAGTCTGTATAATAATTAAATTAGAGTAATTTTATAAAAATGATTTGCCAGTTATCTGAAGATTCGTGAGATCTTTTTTACTCATATCTCACGATATATTGGGTCGATTTTAACGTTTTTACCACCATTAGAACCGTTATTATTTTTACAACTTTTATTAAGAGTTAAAGCTGATGTAATAAAAAAAATTATAAGGACTTTAGATTTATTTTTTAAATATTTTTAAATAATAAATCTATTTTTATATAATTTTTTTACTAAGTCAACTTTACTTAAGCTCTTAATAAAAGTTATAAAGAATATCATGGTGATTCTATTGATAGTGAAAATGTTAAAATTGGCCCAGTAGATCATAAGTTATGAGTAAAAAAAATCTTACATCATTTTAAAAATTTAAAAATTATATGATTTATTTTAAGAATAGATGTATACATCGCACTATATGATGTACAGGTTATCCTCTTTAATATCAACCTATTTGAATTAGTTTTAAATTATGTTAATATTAAAGTTAATATATATGAGAAAAATTTGATATATAAAAACAATAGCACTAAATTACATTACTGGTATTCAACTATATAGGATAACTTTCTCATGATTGGTCGATTACATGAAATTGAATAACACGTTATGATTGGCCATCAGCGCAACATGTAACAATCAACCAATCAAAGTACATTATATTCGTAAACTTAATTCTTTATCGTTTCTTCACTTTCATAAAGAATAAAGAAGAAACGAAGGCCTACATATATATTTTTTAAATGCCTATCATGCTCTTTTACACTGAACTAACTATTTCTAAAAAAAAAGTTATACTTTTAGTTTTTTTTCAATAACCCGGTTATATTCAACGTTTTAGTAATTACACATAGTTCTATAGTTACAGTATACTTAAAAATTTTACCTTCTAAGTAAGGTACCTTTAGATGTGAGATGATTTGGGATTATTTTGTATAATAACTATTGGCGTTTCTTCGAAGTTAAAGATGAGTTTAATTTTTATTTTTTACTTGTGAAATGTTACATTCTTAAAAAGTACTTTAAACTGTATAAATACAGAAATACAATTGCAAGTGATTAGCCAATCAGAAGAAAGTTATCCTATATTATTTAACACCAGTATGCTGTGTAATATAAAGATCATTACCAAAACAAATAAATAACAAATTAAAAAAAATT